AATTATCTAGATACCCAAAAATTGTTACTTAACATTATTTTATAGTTTTTTTTGTTTTGTTTTGGGTTTTTTGTTTGTTTGTTTGTTTGTTTTGAGACAGAATCCCACTTTGTTGCCCAGGCTAGAGTGAGTGCCATGGCATCAGCCTGGCTCACAGCAACCTCAATCTCCTGGGCTCAAGGGATCCTCCTGCCTCAGCCTCCTGAGTAGCTGGGACTACAGGGATGCACCACCATGCCCAGCTAATTTTTTTGTATATATATATAGTTTTTAGTTGGTCAATTAATTTCTTTCTATCTATTTTTAGTGGAGATGGGGTCTCGCTCAGGCTGGTTTTGAACTCCTGACCTCGAGCAATCCGCCCGTCTCGGCCTCCCAGAGTGCTAGGATTACAGGTGTGAGCCACCACGCCCACGCCCGGCCATTACTTAACATTTAAGCTAGGTTTTAAAGTTAGTGATAGATCTTCAGAATTAAATTTAAGTTGGTGTATTATACAACCTAATTACTACTGAAATCAAAAAATTTGTCAGAATTGTACTTCAATTTAGTTGAACCCATCATAATTTTATGCTTTTCTTACTCTTACTATCTTAAATTAGTTATCTATCACTCCCATGAATGTTTTTAAATCTTTATTACATACACTATATGTATGCATAAATAATTTCTAGTATTATTTTTCATGTTCTAAAAATTTTTATTACTATAAATGCTATCATATTGCATGAATTCCTTTGCAACTTGCTTTTTTTCTTTGAGCTTATATATATTTTTAAATTTCTTTTCATTAAAAAACTTTTTTTCACATATCTTATTTTGAAGTGAGAGCTTATATATTTTTAATACAATTTTTATGTGGGGATTATTTAATTAGTAAGATGTGAGTGATAAGGAGCAGCTGTAAATAGAGATGAAGCTTCACTCCTCTCACCAGCTACTCACCTCCTGCTGTGCAGCCCGGTTCCTAAACCTCTTCATTTGACAAAGAGTTACTAATCATCTCAGATGCTGCGCTAAGTACCCAGAGGTTTCTCCATAGCCTCTTCTCTGCCCATCCTACATCCCAGGTGTCTTGTTCATTCTAATGGCTTTTAATCTGAAATCTACAACTCCAGCCCTGAGCTTCACTTCCTGAGCTTCTAACACATATATCTAACTGCTTCCTGGACATCTCATTAGGATATCCCATAGGTAACCTCAAAGTCAACCTGCTCAAATACTAGCTCCTCTGTGCATATGCCCTGAATCTGTTCCTCTTCTGGTGGTCCCTGTCTTACTGAATGGTATCAGCAACCTCCCAGGAACTCAACGTAAACACCTGGCATCATTCCATTGCAGCACCAAGTTCTGTCTATTCTATTACCTTAGAGCTTCTCAAATGTGCCAATTGCATCTATTTATTTATTCGTCCTGCATTTATTCAATGCTTTTTTGTGCGAGTATCTGTCCTGGGTTCTGAGGAAATAAAGATAAACCATTCCTTTTCAAATTATCTGTGGCGAAGGAGCTTTTTTCTTTCCCTTTCTAATCAGTCAGGGACAGATCCTTTTATAAAATACAATGAAAATCAATTGCTAGACAAAAGAAAAAGAAAAAAGGACATACAAAATACAAGTCCTGGTTTTCATTATTAGATTCAATAAACACAGAACTACTTGCCAACTTGCTATAAGCGTTTTTCAGTGTTTCTCTCAATTCCTGTACCTATCTTGTTGCAGACTGGCGAAGTGTGCACACTGGTGTCGTCCATGGACCACACTCAGGGTAGCACCAAAGGGAGGCAAACAGAACAGCGTGTAAACATAGGCCTTAGAGTGGGAGCTGGGAAGCCAGAAAAGGAAGATTCTTAAGCAAACAAATAATAACCACATCATCATCAACAACAAAAGCCATTAGCTACCTGTGCTAAGATGTGGGTTACCCAGGGCAGTGGGAGCACAGAGGAGCACTGAACCCAGCCTGGGTGTCAGAGAAGGCACAGGACAGGCAGGAGCTGGGCCGGGGAAGCACCAGAGAGGAGAAGAAAGGATACACCAGGAGAGAAGCCAGTTCTAGAGTCATTAAGCAGCATGTGGGTTAGCAGTGGGCCCTAACCTTTTTGGCACCAGGGACCCTTTCATGAAAGACACTTTTCCCACGGATGAGGGTGGGAGGAGCCTGGGGGGTGTGGGGTCTGGGGGCAGAGCTCAGGCAGTGAAGTGAGCCATGGGGAACAGCTCTAAATACAGATGAAGCTTCACTCGCTTTCACCTGCCTCTCACCTCCTGCTCTGCAGCCGGCTCCTAAGTTTCATGGAAGATAATTTTTCCATGACAGGGGTGGAGGGTGGAGGTTGGGGGAGAGCCCTAGCTCACGGGGTGACATGGCCCAGTTCCTAGCAGGTTTGCCCATACACAGGGGATGGGGGGGGTGTTGTTGGGACCACAGGGTTAGGGGATTATCTTTCTTTCTTCCTTTTTTTTTCCTTTTTGGGGATTATTATTATTATTATTATTATTTTGAGACAGTGTCTCACTTTGTTGCCCTGGCTAGTGTGCTGTGGCATCAGCCTAGCTCACAGCAACCTCAAACTCCTGGGACTGCCTCAGCCTCCCAAGTAACTAGGACTACAGGCATGCACCACCATGCCCGGCTAATTTTTATATATATATAGTTGTTCAGCTAATTTCTATTTTTTTAGTAGAGATGGGGTCTCGCTCTTGCTCAGAACAATCCTCGGCCTCGGCCTCCCAGAGTGCTAGGATTATAGGCGTGAGCCACTACACCCAGCTGGGATTACCTTTCTTATCACTTAATGGGCTGCTTTTCTCTGAGCCTCAGCATGTTTCCACACTCACAAAACCTATATGATAATCCTTTCTTTGAATGACAAAAGAAGGCATGAAAAGTGCCTGGTGCTTGCTTATGTTGCTGTTTTGTGGGTAAAGGATACTCACAGGAATCAGAGCTGCCACAGATGGTGGGGTGCAGTGGGTTGGGGGGACAGTTCATTGACCCAGGACTGGAGCCCATAATGACCTGGTTCTGGGAGGTGCCAGAGAAAATGGCAGGGGGGTGGGCAGCATGCCTGCCCAAGTCATCCTCAGGCCCAAGGTGTGGCTCTGTAGGATGGACTGTCAGTGTGGAGGATGGGGGACAGTGTTATGTGGGGGCAGGATGCAGGACCCCAGAATAAGCTACTCTTCCTCACAAACCCCAGCTGTTCCAGATGGCCGCATGGCAACAGGCTCTAAGTCAGGGGTCCTCAAACTATGGCCCTTGGGCCACATGTGGGTGTTTTTGCCTGTTTGTTTTTTACTTCAAAATAAGAAATGTGCAGTATGCATAGGAATTTGTTCATAGTTTTTTTTGAGCTATAGTCCGGCCCTCCAATGGTCTGAGGGACAATGAACTGGCCCCCTGTTTAAAAAGTTTGAGGACCCCTGCTTTAAGTTAAAAAGCTGAAAGGTAGGGCTGGCTCTGTCCTATTCTGATATATTTTGAGGAACTGATAATGGTGTTAATGGATCATTCATAAATCGTGAAGCTGATCCTCTCAGGTGCTGGTTGCTAATGAAGCAAGTGAGATCAGGAAGTTTATTAAAGCACAGATTTTGAAATCTCAGCCCCGGGGCAGTGCTGGAATTCAGTCTCAGAGCCTGACTCCAGACTGCATCTCTTAACCAGATAGCATGTTTAGAAATATGTTCTGACCACAGTGGTCACATGGAAATGAATTCCAACTGGTCCTTGCAGTTCCCCCAAAGACTATTCCCGGGAGAGAGGCACGGAAGTGGGGGTGCAGCAAAGGCTTACTGGAGAGAGACACTAGACATATGGGAACTGGAAGAGGCATCAAATGGGCGTCAGAGCCGGGCCCAGGCGGAGGTGATCCCAGAGCTGAGAGCCAGCAGGTGTTAGCCATAGGACCTCAGCCACACTTCTCACCTGCCTGCTCTCATCCACCGGATGCTAGTACCTGGAAAGCCTAAGACACCTAAGCCTCTTCTTACCCTGCCTGTTACCACAAAGCAATGTCCCTGCTATCACCAAGGCCCGCTTGCCTATTGGTACCCTGGGCCCTGTCCTTTCTTGACTCAATGACTTTGCGGCGATCTTGAAGCCCACTCTGCTTCCATATCGGTTTCTCCTTCGGCGCCTCCCCTCGGCCTACACTATGCCTCCCCTAACCACCCTTGCTGTCATTCGCGGCAAAACTTCCCTGCAAGAGTTGTTTCCAACTGTGCGGCTCAGTGAGGCCACCTGGTCAACTCCTGTCAGCGCCACTCAGTTGCCGGCTTTGACCTTGACTCTTTCCGCCCCACCCCCGCTTCCGATCCTGCTCCATTCCCGAGTCCAGCTTTGTCTCGTTTGGGTTTTTTTGAGACGGGTTCTCCCAATGTCGATGTCGCGATGCTGCCCGGGCTGGGGCGCAGCGGCCACTCCATCAACAGGCGCCGTCCAGAGCTTTGATGTGACCTGCGCGCGCCAAGCGCGCGGTGTCCCCGCCCGAGCTTGGTGCGGGCGTCGTGGGCGCAGCGCCCCGCAGCCCTGGCTCCCGCGACGCTCCCGCCTGGGCCCTGGGCCTACCGTCCTTTTAAATTCCACAGCATTCTCTAATCGCCACCACCCGTCACCAAACACTGACATCTCTTTCTCGGAGAGTTCCTTTACTTTCTAACTGGCGTCGCTGCGTCCCTCTTGCCCCTATAGTCCATAAGGAGCCAAACGATTATTTTAAAGACATAAATCAGATCATACCAATTTCCTGCTGAAAACCGGTCCGTGGTTCTCCGTCACAGAATAAAATCCAAACTTCCTCCCATGTCCTCACGGCCCTCCCTAGCCCCCTGTCCCGTGTCGCGTCACTGCGGTCCCCGGGCCTGCCTCCCTCCTGCGGGCTCCGCCAAGCTCTTTCTCGCCCCCGCCTTCCCACGCGCCAGGGCCGCTCCTCTCAGGCATTTAGGTCTCAGCTCGCATTTCCCTGTTTTGGTCTCTCCATAGCACTCACCACCATCTAAAATGACAATAATCATTGACTTTATTACTCATTTCTCGTCTGCCAGTTTAGGATGGAGATTCCTTGACAGCAAGGACTTTGTTCTGTCTCGTTTACCATTTTACCCCTAGTTCCAAAGCAGCGTCCAGCACACACGAGGTACTTGATCAATACTGTGGAGTAAATGAATTGTGCCATGGAGCGCCCAGGCCCCAGTTTGCACAGACAAGGGACGGAGGAGCCCGGCCTTGGCATAAGAGGTCCAGGCCGCACCCGGTGGCAGCGGTGGAGGCTGTCCGGTCCGCAGGGGCCTGCACCCGGCCCTGCCACTCTCCAGCCTGCTAACCCGGTTCCCCACTCGGGGAGGCCTGGCTGGAGTCGGAGACTCAGTGTACCCAGTCCCACTGGGGGCAAGCGGGAGCTCAGCAAGATGGGAAGGGTAGGTGGGGTGGGCAGTCATAATTACTTTAAGGAGTAGCGAAGGCCAGAGGTCCCCGCTGGGGCTGGGGTCTGCAGAGCACCGTGGGCCGCCGCGGGCAGGGCACGTGGGGCGGCGGCTGGGTGGGGCGGGCGTGACTCCGCCCCTGGCTCAGCAGTAAGTGAATAAAAGCGGAGCGCGGTGATTGTGGCGTGGCGCAGCGGAGACACCTGCCCGCGACGCCTGCGGTGTCTGGCTCTCTTCTGGTCTGGAGTTGGCCTGGGCCCCACGCCGAAATGGAGCAGGAGGCGGAGGAGCAGGGTGCTGAGGAGCTGAGCCAGTGGCCCGGGACAAACCAGCCCGCCCAGGTGAGTAGGGCCTGGGCCCCCAGGGTCCCTGGAGCGGGCGCAGGCCTAGGTGGATGCGGAGGGAGAAGGCCAGGGTGGGGAGTAGAAATCTGGGGGGAATTAGAAATCCAAGGGAGGGGATTGGAAAAGGGAGGGTTGAGGGAGGAGATCGAGGACGGGAATCATACATAGTTTATTCAATTAATAATCACCGACCGTTAGAGCTTGTGTTGGGCCCGCTGGTGGTAAAAAGGTTTCAGGCAACTTTCTGGCTGGGGACTTGGGTGCTCAGGAAAGCAAAAACAAAGTTAGGAAGTCGGCGAGAAACGACAGGGAGGAAAAACTTAAACATTTATCAGAGGCCAACAAAGTGGTGGGCCTTTGCCAGACCCTGGATATACAATGGTGAGTTTACCAAAGGCAAGATATGATGTCATTTTATTTTTATTTTATTTTAGAGACTGGTCTCACTATGTTGCCCAGGCTGGCCTCCAAACCAGCCCAGGGGCTCAAATGATTCTGCCACCTCAGCCTCTCAAGTAGTTGGGATTACAGGTTATTCCATTTTATTAATAAATAATTAAGCTGAATGATTGGAAGTGTCCAAACTGCTGTGAAGGAGAAGTGGGGGGAGCATGGGAGCAAATAGCAGAGGTTTGATCTGATTTTGGAGGTCAGAGAGGCAGCGAGAGTTTGGTCTGGAACCAGTGAACTGGGCAGGTGAAGGGTTTCCAGGTCCTGAGACCAGAGATAGTAGCTTTCACTTTGGAGGAACTCAAAAGATGCCTAGAGAGCGAAGAGAGAGTGGCCCCAGGGAGGGGAGGCAGGGACACTGTCAAGGTCATTCAGAGCTTGAGTTGAGTTGGTTATTCCAAGAGTGGTAAGAAGCTGGTGATGGGTTTAAATATGATCTGTCTCAATTGGAAAGTGCCTGCGGGCTATTTAAATGGACCCCAGCAGTAGGCAGCTGAAATTCCCGAGAGATCTTCCCTGGAGCTATAGATTTAAGAATAATTGGATTATAAACGGGGAATGAATCTACTGGCATAGAAAAGGTGCCCTTTAGAGAACTGTGCAACCTGCAAAAGAGATTGAGGAGGGGGACAGAGAGAAGGGAAGGAGAAAAGCCAGGAAAGTATGAGGGGGCCCAGGGAAAGACACATTGCAAGAAGAATGTGGCCAGCAGCCTCAAACTCCTGAGAGGCCAAGCCAGGAATCTGAAAAATGCTGCTTGGACTTAGTGCCATGGAGTCCTTGGTGACCTTCATGAAAGCAGGTTCTGTGGAGAGATGGGGGCCAGAGCAAGTCTGGGGGGATAATAAGGTGAGGTAGTGGTGAAGGTGCCTTTAGACAACCTTGAGCTAGTTTGCCCTGAAGGACTGGGAAGGCCAGAGGCCCATTGCTGAGAGGGAGGGAAAAGAGGCTGTGAGCGCCCCAGAAGTGCCCTGGTTCCTATTGTGCCCACCTTATGCTAGTTGCCCAGCATACAGTGCTGAGTAAAACAGACAGAGCCAGGCACCGCGGCATATGCCTGTAGCCCTGGCCTATGAGGGACGGAAGTGGGAGGATCACCTGAGCCCAGGAGTTCAGGGTTGTAGAGCAGATTGTGCCCGTGAATAGCCACTATACTCCAGCCTGGGCAACACAGGCCGACCCTGTCTCTGAAATGAAATGAAATGATTTAAAAATAAATAAATAAAATAAAATAGATAGCATCTTTCCAATTCTGCTAGTGTTTTTAAAAGAACATTTTCCTCTATAACCAAAACAACATAATCAGACCTACCAAAATTAATGATAATTTCTTAAATGATCTTAGATGCAATCCTTATTCAAATTCCCTGGTTGTCCCTAAAATGTCCTTTGCAGCTGGTATGTCTTAAGCAGCATCTATTTTAAGACCACACAGTGTATCTGGTTATTATGTCCCTTGAGTCTCTTTGAAATTAGAATAGTTTTCTTTTTTCATGACTGACAGTTTTTCATGATTCAGACTTTCATGATCCAATCCTTTTGGATTTATCAGATTGTTTCACCATGGTACAATTTAGCTTATCTTCTGTCTCTTGCATGACCTCTAAATTAGATTGAATCTTAAAGTTTAATTGGATTTAAGGTTTTTGGTAAGAATGCCTCCTAGGTGTGGTAGACATCACCTTGCATTACGTCAGGAGACATCTGGCTTTCCATATTTGATACTAGACTTTAACACCAAATTTTAATTTTTCCTTATCAAAAATTTCATTAGGAATTGCAAAATAATGATTTTGCAATTTCTTCTTCTACACTTACCAGTTTGTAGTCATCTGCAAAGTATGATTTAACTGGAATTATTTGGTAATTTTGAAATAAGTTTTTTATTGGAAAGACAGAATAAGTGCTTAATTCTTTCACTTCAATTAGCAATGTTCAAAGTTAGCATGATAGCTGGCCTTCTGTCACTTTGGGCTCATGAATTTTCACAGATTCAATCTATTTCCATCAACAATCATTATTTTCTATTCACCACTCATCCCAAATATTGCCAGTGGGAATCCTTTGTGTCCTTGAAAAATTATTTTTTTCTAAAGGTTGTGGCAAAACCTACACAGCAAAATATGCCACTTAAGTGTTCAGTGGCATTAAGCACATTCACATTATGCAACCATTGCCACCATCTATTTCCATAATTCTTTTCATGTTCCCAAACTAAAACTCTACCCATTAAATAGGAACTCCTCATTCTCCACTACCCTGGCAACCATCATTCTACCGTTTCTATTTTTTTTTTTTTGGAGACAGGGTCTTACTCTATTTCCCAGGCTTGAGTGCAGTGATGTTATCACAGCTCACTGGAACCTCAAACTCTTGGGCTCAAGAGATCCTCCCATCTCAGCCACCCTAGTGGCTAGGACTACAGGTGCGCACCACCAGGCCCAGCTAATTCTTCTATTTTTAGTAGAGAGGGGTCTCACTCTTGCTCAGGCTGGTCTCAAACTCTTGCCCTTAAGCAATCCTCCCACCTTGGCCTCCCAAAGTGCTAGGATTATAGGTGTGAGTCACCACCACTGGCTTACTTTATCTCTTTGAATTAAACTTACTCTAAGTACCTCTTGAGAGACTCGTACACTATTTGTCTTTTGTGACTGGCTTTTAGTATAATGTGTTCAAGGTTCATTTATGCTGAAGCACATGTCAGAATTTCCATTTTAAGGTTTGTTTAGGGTTTTTACATATAAAATCCTATCATCTATAAATTCTTCTTTCTTTTCAATTTCGGTTGTTTTTATTTCTTGCCTAATAGCTCTGGCTAGAACTTCTATGTTAAATAGAAGTGGTGAAAGCAGGTATCTTCGTGTTGTTCCTGATATTGAAAGGAAATGCCTCAGTCTTTCACTGTTAAGTTTGATGTTAACTATGGGTTTTCCATAAATGCTCTTAATTATGTTGAAATTTCCTTCTATTCCTAGTTTTCTTTTTTTTTTTTAATCATGAAAGAGTGTTGGATTTTGTCAAATGCTTTTTCTGCATCAATTCAGATGATATATTTTTCCCCTTTATTTTGGCTTATGTAGTATATCACATTGTTTTTTCATATGTTGAGTCACCCATGCATCCCAGGAAAAATGTTGGTCATGGTGTATAATCCTTATAATATACTGCTAGATTCAGTTTTCTAGTTTTGTGTTGAGGATTTTGCATCTTTATTTATGAAGGATGTTGGTCTGCAGTTTTCTTATTGTGATATCTTTGGCTTTGGTATCAGGGCAGGGCTGGACTTATAAAATTATATAGTAAGTGTTCCCTCCTCTTAAAATTTTTGGAGGAGTTTGAGAAGCATTGGTGTTCTTTAAATGTTTGGTATAATTCACCAGTAAAGCCATTGAGTCCAGGACTTTGACCTGGAGGCTAAGTCAGACATTACTGACTTAATGTCTTTACTAGTTATGGATCTATTCAGATTTTCTATTTCTTTTTTTTTTTTTTTTTTTTCGAGACAGAGTCTTGCTTTGTTGCCCAGGCTAGAGTGAGTGCCGTGGCGTCAGCCTAGCTCACAGCAACCTCAAACTCCTGGGCTCAAGCTATCCTCCTGCCTCAGCCTCCCGAGTAGCTGGGACTACAGGCATGCGCCACCATGCCCGGCTAATTTTTTCTATATATATTAGTTGGCCAATTAATTTCTTTCTATTTTTATAGTAGAGACGGGGTCTCGCTCTTGCTCAGGCTGGTTTCGAACTCCTGACCTCGAGCAATCCGCCGCCTCAGCACTCCCAGAGTGCTAGGATTGCAGGCATGAGCCGCTGCGCTTGGCCCAGATTTTCTATTTCTTTGTGAGAATCTTGATATATTTTATTTCCAAGAATTTGTCCACTGTATTCAAATTATCCAATTTGTTAGTGTATAGTTTTTCTTAAAACTGCATTATAACCCTTTTATTTTTGTAGAATTGGTTATAGTGTCCCCACTTTCATTTCTCCTATTAGTAATTTGAGTCTTTTCCTTTTTCCTTAGTTAATGTAGCTAAAGTTTTGGCAATTTTGTTAATCTTTCTTAAGAACCAACTTGTAGTTTCATTGATTTTTCTCTATTTCTTTCCTTTGACTGGTTTTAGGTTTAGTCTATTTTATTCCTTTTCATTTTCTTGTCCTTTTTTTTTTTTTTTTTTTAGACAGTCTCACTCTGTTGCCCAGACTAGAGTGCTGTGGTGTCAGCCTAGCTCTCAGCAACCTCAAACTCTTGGGCTGCCTGAGCTTCCCCAGTAGCTGTGACTACAGGTGTGTACCACCATGCCTGGCTATTTTTTTCTATTTTTAGTTGCCCAGCTAATTTATTTTTATTTTTAGTAGAGATAGGGGTCTCCCTCTTGCTCAGGCTGATCTCGAACTCCTGAGCTCAAGCAATCCTCCCGCCTCTGCTTCCCAAAGTACTAGGATTACAGGCGTGAGCCACTGCACCTGGCCTCCATCCTTTTTTCAAATAAGTGTTTTTCACATCTGTCTTTCCCCCATATCTCCTCCAATGCTTAATCTTAGACCTGCCCAAGCAGTTCCTGCTCAGGGGAGACCCTATTCTATAGACAAATATTTGTGGATGGTTTCCAAGTTTTGCTAAAGCCAAGACCCATCTGAAGCCTCCATTCTTCCTATCTTTGTGGCTTTCTCGCTCATTCTGCTGGTTTGAGATGTTCTTTCACCCTTACACTTAACTTTATTTTATTTTTTATTTATTTTTGGCTGTCCTTTGTAGGCCAGGACAAACTTAACTTATACTTTGGAAAATTTTTAAGTTTTGCTGAAGGTGTAGGTTGTGGTTTATTTTATTTGCTCTCTTTGTTTTTTGGTATGAAATAAAAAACAAAAACATGTCAAGGAGGATGAATGGCCTGAGTTACATTTAGGGTTCCATTGTGTTAGCCAGACCTGCATCTTAGAAAGCCAGACCTACATCTTAGAAAGCCCAATCTGAAAAATGGTGTGGAAGCAGGATAATTCAGGCAAGGGATGATGGGGGGCTGGATTAGGATGGGGTCTGGGGATGAGGAAGAGGAACATGTGGAACTGGAATTTGAGCTAGGGTAAATTTCACCTGACTTTTTCTCTCACCAAGGGTAATGAGAATGTAATGTCCATCTCGGAGCCGTCTCCACCTTCTGGAACCAGTGGGGTGCACACCTCTTGGAACCATGGCATACCAGACATTCAGCACTTTCCTCAGGGAAGAGAGGTGTCAGGGACCCCCTTGGTGTCTGCTGAGGTACCAAGGCAGAATGCGAATGAAATGGGGCTACAGTTCAATATGTCATTACCTGAGAATGGCAGGAGCTACTGCCCCCAAGCGATCCCCGGTCCTTCGCAGATGATTTACTGTCAGGGAGTATTTCCCTCCCACCAAGAGATGCTTTACAAGGGGTCCCAGGTGATGGCCTTGGGAGAGCCCAATAATACAGGGGTGGCCATGACCTTCCCTGGGCATCCAAGGATATACCCCAATGGATTGCCAGACTCAGCTTCTAATAGAATCCCTATGATGTCCCACTTCTGGGCCCCAAGAATGCCTAATTCTGAACCCTTAACAGTATCTTCTAACACAGCCTCTTCGACACCTGAGATGTTATTGGCCCCAACCATACCTTCCACTGAGGCCCACGTTATGCTTCCCTCTCTGGCTCAGATGTTGCCCCCCAGAGAGCCCCTTGACCTTGAGATGGCCCCAGCTGAGTCTCAATCATTGCTGGCATTAGAATCACAGGACTCTTTTGTGAGTCAGCCAGCCTTCCAGGCAGGCGTCTTCCTGCCTGAACACCCCATTCCTGCTCCCCAGGGAGCAGACCCTAACTCCAGGGCCCAGGAGGGGGCACGTGGAAGGAAACCCTTAGTTTTAAGGCCTTACGTCTGCCAGCATGAGAACTGTGGAAAAGCTTATACCAAGCGCTCCCACCTCGTGAATCACGAGCGCAAACACACAGGTGAGTGAGGTCAAGTGGGGTCGGGGCAGAGGAGTCTCTGGGCGTTAGATTGTCTGGGCCACTGGTTTGTGATTGGGGTGATCACTTCATCTTTCAAGCTTGGAACTCAGCTATACTGGCCCAACTGAATTTCCATCCATAATGACTGCCAAGATGATGGGGAGAGGGCACTACTGACTGTGTTGCCCCCTCACTGGTTTCCCATACCTTCCCTGATTGTTCCCTAACCTTGGCTGTTCTACCTCATAATCAGACCCGTTCCCTCCTACCTACTGGCCTGTTCTTCTGTTTAATTACACCTCTCCCTTATCATCCACCCAGGTGAGAGGCCCTACAAATGCACTTGGGAAGACTGTACGTGGTCTTTCTTCCGTTCCGATGAGCTTGGACGACATATACGGATACACACCAGATATCGACCATATAAATGTCGCCAGTGTGGCCGACTCTTCATGAGATCTGACCATCTCAAGCAACACCAGAGGACTCATCAGCAGATGCCAGGCCCCTGAGACCCACAGGCCAATGATGGAGAGATGGGTGGTCCTCCCTGGGATCCTGCCTGCCTCTGACCAGTTCACCTCTTTGGTGGATAGAAGCTTAGATGAAGTCTGTACAAGATTATGAGGCAATGTTGAAGCCCAAATGAAGTTCTGGACCCAGTCAGAGACTCTTCAAAACCTGTCTTGGATGCCCTGACCTCTCTGTGGCCACCTACTTTTGCTGGAGTGTAGCCAGATGGGAAGATGGAGCACAGCAGAGATTAGGCTTAGAACCCTTCAGTGACTCCTTTGCCTGCTACATAAAATCCAAGTTCTTTATCTTGGTCTTCCACAGTTTCCAGAGCCAGACATGTTCAAATCCTGGATTTACCACTAACTAGCCATGCAACCTTGGGACAAGTCTTTTATTACTATGCCTTGTTTTGTCTTCTGGAAAATGAGAAAACAATGACTGTATTGGCCACAGCACATGTTCCACATCAGGTACTCTCTAGCACTCACTATGCACATGGCCCAGAGTTTGTCTCTTCCCACTGTGACTTCTAGACTTGGATGGAATGCCCTTCCATGGGGACATGGGATCTGGCACTGCAGTGCCCAGCCTGGTGATAACCTTCCATTACCTCCCATTCCCTCCTGCCTCACTTCCCCCTTCTCAATCTGAATATCTTGGGCTTGTACCTCCCAAATAGAACCTCAGTATTCTTGCACCTGATATTAAGGGGGCTGTGCTACTCTGTTCTCTCCTGGGGTTGAGGGGATAATGACTGCCTTGGCAACTCAGATAGTTTAGAACCATGTTTCTGGACTCCAGGCCATTTCATTGACCAGCAAGCTAATAGTGAGAAAAAAAAAAAAAACTTGGCCAGGTTATTAAGTGCAAATATATCTGCTCCAGAGGTGGCCTCTCCCTTAGAGATGGTGCCTTCCGTAGGTGTTTCCTGAACCCAGTCCGTCCCAAGCATGGCCAGGTGGTGGCCATAGAGATGTGACTCAGGTCTGGTTTTCTATGCTCAAGGGACCTTGGTGTAGGGGCTGAGAGGTCCCCCTAAGTGCAGTCGGGAAGAGAAGTTGCCAAAAGGAGGGTCAGAAAGGCTTTCTGGTGGAGGTGACCCTTGAACCCAGTAACAATAACATCTCGTAATCCCTCCGGCTGTTGGAATAAACTGAGCAGGTGAATGAAGCAAGAGGATTCCAGGCAGAGAACACTGGATCTGGCAACTGCTCGGAGAAGAGTCAGCATGCAGGATTCCATTCACTCAACCAGTGTTTTTCGGGCCCACCATGCAGAGCACGCCAAGGCTGTGCAGACCAACGGGGAGGAGCACAAAGACAACTAAAGAACGTGTCGGGGAAGACAGACCTCTCAAGGAGATGCCTGAGTCAGACCTGAAGGACTCGTAGGGGTTAGCCATGCCTCCGAGTTCTTAGACATGGTCATGCCCTGTGCTGGTCACTAAGGATTCAGAGGTGCATGCAGGCACCCTGCCTCCTGAGGAGCAGAACATTCTGAATGCTCAGTGCTGCCGAGGAGAGGAGCTGGGTGTCTGGGGAAGCCCCACAGCCTTGGCTGTGCCTGCCTCTGCCCTCCCACCCCTACCCTGACCCCATCCTGCTTGGCCGCCTTGGTCCGTGTCACTAGTGGCCTCCGTGTACCAGATGTGGACATCCAGTGCCCTCCACCCAAGCCCCGAGTGAGGGGAGGACATAATTTTTAAAACATGGGCAAGGGGTTTAGACTGCACCGGCCCCTCAGCCCCCCTCCAGGAGGCGTTTGGAGCCCAGGACTTGTCAGGATTGAGGAGAACAAGGTTAATCCCATTTTAAGGTGTTTTCTTTGGCTGCAGTGTAGAAATTGGATTAGGGTAGGAATTTAAGAGAGAGGGAGGGATTTTAGAGTTTTAGGTGAGACAAAGGTGGCTTGAGCCAGGGTGGAAAGAAAGGGTATTAAAAATTAACTGGATTTGGTCTGTAAGAGGATGGTCAAGGGTGACTCCCAGATTTCATGAACTTCATTGACTTATTTTCTATTTATTGTAATATCTTTCATATGTGCAAAAATATTTGTATATTCAATTTGAAGAATAATAAAAATAAATACTCATTTGCCTCTTAGGTCAGTTGAGAAAAAGAATTTGCTAATACATTTTAAATGAATTCCTCATTTTTCTCTCCAGAGGTAACCACTATCCTGAATGTTGTTTAATCTTGTCTTTGCTATTGTTTTTTTACCACACATGTATCTATTCCTAAATAGTATAGTAATTGGTTTTATATGGTTTCGGACTTTATATTTAATCTGTTTGGGCTTCATTGCAGCTTTTCAATCCAAGAGTTTATAGTTTGAATAAAATTTGGAAAAATTTTGGCCATTGTTTTATCAGTTTTTTGCGTCCCCTCTCCACCTTCTGGCATACAGCCTGCCCATATGGTTGACCACTTGATACTGTCCCACAGATCACTGATGCTTTCTTCATTTTTTATTTCTTTCCCTGCTTCATTTTATTTTATTTTTACTTTTTTTGAGATTAGAGTCTCACTTTGTTGCCCAGGCTAGAGTGAGTGCCGTGGTGTCAGCCTAGCTCACAGCAACCTCAAACTCCTGGGCTCAAGCAATCCTCCTGCCTCAGCCTCCCGAGTAGCTGGGACTACAGGCATGTGCCACCATGCCCAGCTAATTTTTCCTATATAAGTTGGCCAATTAATTTCTTTCTATTTATAGTGGAGACGGGGGTCTCGCTCTTGCTCAGGCTGGTTTCGAACTCCTGACCTTGAGCAATCCGCCTGCTTCTGCCTCCCAGAGTGCTAGGATTACAGGCATGAGCCACCGCGCCTGGCCCTTTGCTTCATTTTTATTATTATTATTATTTTTTTTTTTTTTGAGACAGAGTCTCACTTTGCTGCCCAGGCTAGCGTGAGTGCCGTGGCGTCAGCCTAGCTCACAGCAACCTCAAACTCCTGGGCTCGAGTGATCCTTCTGCCTCAGCCTCCCGAGTAGCTGGGACTACAGGCATGCGCCACCATGCCCGGCTAATTTTTTCTATATATATCAGTTGGCCAATTAATTTCTTTCTATTTATAGTAGAGACGGGGTCTCGCTCTTGCTCAGGCTGGTTTTGAACTCCTGACCTTGAGCAATCCGCCCGCCTCGGCCTCCCAAGAGCTAGGATTACAGGCGTGAGCCACAGCGCCCGGCCCCCTTTGCTTCATTTTTAGATGTTTTGAAGTTCACTGATCTTTTATTCTGTAGTGTCTAATCAGCTGTTAGTGTTTCATCTAGTGCCTTTTTTCATGTTGGATATTTTATTTTTCATCTCTAGAAATTCTATCTGGATCCTTTTTATATATTCCATTTCTCTCCTTATGCTCATGTTTTTTCCTCTATCATCTTGAACATAAAAAGCGTATTTATAATGGCTATTCTAATATCCTCAAGTGCTAATTCCATAATGTTTTGTCATTTCTGGATCTGTATCAATTGATTTTTTTTCTCCTGGTAATTGCCTTTATTTTCCTGCTGCTTTGTGTGGCTGATATATTTTTTTACTGAATAAGAGACATTGTGGATTTATATTGTTGTCGCTGGATTTTGTTTTATTCCTTTAAATAGTATTGGCTTTTTTTTTCTAGCATGAATTTACTTTGAATTAATTGAATCCCTTTGAGGCTTACTTAAAGCTTTTTTAGGACAGTTAAAAAACATTTTTTAGCTAGGAAGAGCTGCCTTTTTTCCCCAGGGCTAATTTAGCCCCACTGCTAAGGCAATATCCTGAGGATTTTGCCTGATGCTCTGTGTGTTATGTTTTTATGTTCTGGCAAGTGGAAAGGAAACTATTCCCAGCCCTGCATGAGCTCCAGGAATTGTTCTGCCTACTTTTAAGTGGTCCTTTTCCTGGTCTTGTGTACGTTCTTCTCATGGTTGATGAGTACTCAGTCAAAGACACAACAGGATACCTTTGTAGATCTCCAGAGCTCACTCTCTCTGCAAAACTCTGTCCTCTGAGGTTCTCCACCTCACAAATTCTAGCCACCCTGGTCTTCCCAAGCTTCAGTCTCTGTCTCTTCCATCAGCGAGACTAACAGGCTCTGTTTGGTTTTCCTCCCTTATCTCGGGTCACAGGCCTGAGCTGCCCATTGCCCATTGCTGAAAGCCACTGTTTCATATATTTTGCCTGACTCTGTAATTATTTTAAAATAATTTATTCTATTGACACACTTAATTGTTTTGCTGTTAAGAACAGTACTACTCTGAATATTCCCGCCTACCCTGCTAGTGTACATGTGGTAAGTTCCTTTTTGAAGCATTTTTCAAACGGTGATTCTTGACTTGATAGGTTATAAGCTGACCAGAGAAACATAGGATTGCATGACAAGTTTGAGAACCTGGCAGAATTTGGTGACAATGAATTTATAGAAGTGCCAGTCTACCCTGTTGTAGGACCTTCTCTGGTGGCATCAATTGCTTGTGTAGTTACAGAGAAGGCAGTTGGTCAGAGTCAGCAAGGGTGGAGGTTTTGTCAGGTGTGTGCCACAGTGGGACAAAGGGACGGAGTGTAGGACAATGGCAATGAGAGACAATGGACTATGGAATTTAAGATGGGGATGTAAAGTCCAGAGGAGACAGATGGATAGGGACAGAGTTCTGATGAAGTCAAATCACTGGCGTGTTAGGAACAAATGAGTGAGGCTGGAACGCTCAGGGATGGTCATGGAGATTAGGATGTTGAATAGGTGCTTTTGTGGGTAGAACAGTTTCAAACGATGACAAAATCCAGGATATGGCTATAGAAGTGGGTGGCTGGGATGGACCAGGGGTGAAGGTTTTAGGAAATGTGGAGTTCAGGGTGTCATCTGGGTGGTATCCAGGTCATCCTTGGATAGTAACCAGGGATATGGCTAAACCTTGCATGGAGAGGACATGGGGCAGGTGACAGATTCTTACAGGAATGCCAGTGAATGACTCAGTAGGAGCAAAAAGGTGGAGTATCTAATGGAACAGGGTTTTGGTGGGGATGTAGAATAGTGGCATGTAAGTGGCATATCCAAAGGTAGGTGGAGTAGGGAGAATGAGAGGTGTCCACAAGGCAGAGATGTGGCAGGATGTGAAGGCAGGTAGAAGAGGGAGCTGCTTGGAAGCAGTGGAGGGTGTGGGGGAGTCTCCGGATTGTGGAGCGGGAGATCCAGAGAGTACAGTGGGATAGTTTGGGAGGGAGCTTGGGAGAAGGATGGGAAATAAGAACTAGAAATGGGGAATTCTTTCCAGAGGTCTTTGGGACACTGACCCTGTACAGCATCGGAACTCACATTTTATTCATTCTCGTTCATCAAAGATATACTGGGTGCCCAGGGGTCTTGGTGCCAGGGATATAATGACTAAGTGGTCAACTGGATCTTAGCTCTCCTGGAGCTCTGGGCTAAGTGCAGGAAAGGCTGAACCAAAACCAGATGATTATAATTGCAGTTGGGAAGCCTATCTTGGTTGCCTTGAGTAGAGGATGGATGGAAGATTCTGGGCAGAAGAGTAGGCAACTGCATATGGGGAAAGGGGCAGATAACAGCGGTCTGCACAGTGCAGCAGATTGTGAGGAGTGGTGTTGGAATCGGGTGTTTGCTATGCTGGTGACTCCCCTGGTGCTAGGTGCATAGGAGGAAAATCCTGCTTTTGTCAAGAAGGTGCTGGAGGCCACCTGGCTTAGGACTCTGGGCTCCAGCTAATGCCCTCCCTGAGCCCCACCTGGGTCTGGAGGAGGACACCCTCTCCTCCGTCTGGGCTAGTGTAGAATTCAGCCACGCTCCATGGATTGGAGAAACAGTTCTTGAAGAGACTCCTGGGTGGTGGGGAAATGAGATGGAAAGTACTTTTAGAACTGAGTCCTGGATGGGTTCAGAGAAGGTGTGTGGAGGGGAGAGGAGAGGAGGGCAAGGAGGGGTGGTGTGTAAAAGGGCTCTTGCAAAACGCTGGTACTTCATTCCACTTCCACATATATAGCAAGAAAGTAATGCCCCTTTTCTAGAAGTCTCTCTTCTTGTGAGGTCTTCATTCATTTATTCAGTTCTCCCTTGCTGACTCGTACCTTCAGCCACGAATCATACTTTTACTTGTGCTAAATGTAATAAGAGAAAAACAAGCCCTCTGACTCAGTTTTCTTTCTCTTCCTTCTCCTTTCCTTCCTCCTTTTTCTTTGCCTGCTTTGTAAAAAATATTTTTGAATAGGTAATATATACATATAATACAAAATTCAAAGGTAGGAAGTATTCAGTGAAAAGTCCCCCTTCAACTCCTGAACCTTTTCCCTGGAGGTGATGCTACTTTCTGTTCTGCACCTTCCAGATCCATTCTATCTATAATAAACAGCACAGTATTCACACTATCGGGTCTCTTGCTTTTTCTGGTACATCTTGGAGACTGTTTCTGTGTCAGTAAATATAGAGCTACTGGAATCTTAAATCGGTCGATGGTGTAATGCCATTGTATGGATGGACCATATTGAACCAGTCTTCTGTTGAAGGCTGTTCAGCTCATTTGCAATCATTTGCTATGAAACAATGCTAGAATCTTGAGAAAGGGTTTTTTTTCTTTTAATAGATAAGTTTATCTCACTTGCAATAATAAATGTTTAGTCTTATTGACTTATTGCCAACTTTATTTTAGAGAAATTTTAGAAAAATTGAGAAGATAACGCCAACTTAGAAGAAAGAACTAAGGCAAATGCATGTAGGTAAACAGTTTATTTGGGCCAAATTTGAGGATTGCAAACTGGAAAACATACTTCCAAACTAAGTTCTGGAGGCGTTCCTGAGTTGGAGTGGTTACAAGCAGATTTTTAAGGATAAAATGAAAAGGTATAGCAAGGGGATCTCAGGTTGTTCATATAGAAATACCCTTGGTTAACAGAAATAAGCCAAGGGATGATTGGCTAAAGGCCAATTTTTTCTACTGAATTGTGGTGTTTT